GACTGGATTCCACGGGATGTCAAAAGACCGCGTGGCCGACCTTCTATGAGATGGTCAGACTTCTTCGTCAAGTTCCTGAACAATAGGTTTGCGGCTCTTTGTGTTCCTAGAACGAGCAGACGCTATTGGGCTACACTAGCACACGACAAGGACAAATGGAGACATTACTGGAGCCCAATTGAGCAAATCGGTGAGTAAAGGGATGTCAAGTGATCATGTGATAGTGTGTGTGTGTGTGTGTGTGTGCATGTAAGCACATAGACGTCATACCACAAACATTTTAAAAGATAATCTCAATGAGAAATATTGACAATGCTATGACATACATAGAATTGCAAGTGGATGTAAGAAGTTATTCTATCCCTCTAATTACAGGTAATATGATAAGTGACTTAATTCAAAGAATGTATTCCCTTATTTCAAATTTTCATGCAAAGTCATCTGTGATATTATTCCCTTCTTTCAACATTTCAAGCAAAGAAAATTATGACATAATCTCTGCCTCAGTAAAAGTATGTGTATGTACTGTCTCTCACTTTTGAAAATTCTTTTTTATCTTCTATAATAATTTACAACCAGTTTATAAATGTAGTTCTCCAATTTTTTTTTTCATTTAAATCTGAGGGACAGAACTCATCTCCATTCCAGGCCTTTCTCACTCACTTTACCTACTGCCAGAGATGATCATGGATCTTAGTTCTTTGATCAGAGCTAATAAGACCCATGAGAAATACTCGAAGAAGCAACTGTTTCCTCACTAACTTGAGAAACACTCGTAATGCATTTTTCTGTGTTTAAAGTCAATATTACACACTAAAACAATAAACAACAACAAAAAAAACACTGTCCTCCTGTTGTTCATCAATTTGCTTGAGTGGTCCCAGTAACGTCTCCATTTTGAGACTTGTTGTTACTGTGCTTTGCATATTGAATACGTCATGGGTAGCTTGCCAGACTTTGCCATTTGGGCGAGATACTCTTGGCAGCTTGCAGGGCTCTCCGAGAGGGGTGGAGGAATCAAACCCAGCTCGTCCAGGCTGGCTGCACGCAAGGCAAATGCCCTACCGCTGTGCTATCACTGCAGCCCACTAATAAAACATAATAATAGACAGTTATCCTATCTTCTAGTTTGTGGGCATAATAAAATGCACAGGGAATCATGAAAGAAAAGCAATAGCTATTACTTCAAAACATTTTAAAATATGTATGTTAGTGAAATTTTGACAATAGTGGTATGTCTCTAAATATGAGATGAATTATGCTGTTTCTCATGTATTTGTTTTTTAAATTAATCCTTGGGGTGAGAGAGAGATAGTGTGATGGCTAAGGTAGTATCCTTATACATAACCAATTCCTGGCTCAACCCCATATACTGCATATTGTGCCCTGAACACCACCAGGAATTATTTCTGAGCACAGAGGCAGGTCTGAATCCTGAGCAAAACCTATGTGGATAAACCTCCACTCCCCTTAAAGAATAATAAATTAATTATTAATTAAATTAAGGGACAAATAAAAATTAATGAAAGAGAAGACTCATTGTATATAATAGTCTTGATTATTCTTAATATATCTTACCAGCCAGTAAGAATAATGATTCAAAAATATATGTTAAGGCATAATTCATAATATAAAATGCAAGCAAAAATTAGTCATGTGTTTTCAGCAATAATAGGAAATACTGTATCATGTATCACTGTCATCCTGTTGTGCATCAATTTCCTTTAGCAGGCACCAGTAACGTCTCCTTCATCCTAGCCCTGAGATTTTAGAAAGTGCCACATTTGAGGCTCTTTCAAGGTCAGGAGAATGAGGCTCATCATTATTACTGGGCTTTGACATATCAAACAAGCCACGGGGAGTTTGCCAGACTCTGCGGTGTGGGCAGAATACCCTCGGTAGCCTATCAGACTCTACAGAGTAAGAACTAGATAATAAAACAGCCAGACGCGAGGGCAGGAGACTCTGCATAGGAAATACGATCACAATCACGACCATCCTGTTCATCAATTGCCTCGAGTAGGCACCAGTGACGTCTCCTCCGTCCTAGCCTTGAGACTCTAAAACGTGTCACATTCAAGGCTCTTTCAGGGTTAGGAGGATGAGACCCATCATTGTTACTGGTATTTGGCATATTGGGTACGCCACAGGGAGTTTGCCAGACTCTGCCATATGGGCAGGTTACATTCGGTGGCCTGCCAGGTTGTCAAAAGCAAGAATGAGAGAGATAATAAGGCGATCGTGGCCGCATGCTTCTAGGAACTGGGTTTTATAGTCTCTGGGTCTTGGCCGTTGATGGGATTACACGGCGCTGGGGGGCAGTTGGTGGGTGTGACCCCTGCCTACTGGAAGATGGAGGATCTGGGTGGAAGATGCTCAGCCCCGATCCAAGCAGGCTTGGAGATCTCAGCCCCGGGACCAGCATGCCTTTGTTCCTCTGCTGGTACATTCATGTGTGTGGAGAATGGTCTCAGCATGGTTGTGGGTGGTTCTGGAGGTCTTCAACTGCTGGGCCCTGGTGAGGACAGTCAGGCATGGGGTAAGAGACTCTGCTTTGTTCTCTCCGGGAGCTTGGTGTGATAATCTCTGGATCCTGGCCGTTGTTGGGGTTACACGGCAGTTGGTGGGTGTAACTCTCTAGCTACTGGAAGATCCAGTCCCAAACCATGCAGGCTTGGAGATCTCAGCCCTGGGTCCTGCACAGCTGGGTTCCTCTGCCGGTTCCTTTATGCGTGAGGCTCATCCAAGGATGTGGAGAGTGGTCTCAGCATGACTTTGGTTGGGTCCCGGAGGTCTTCAGCTGTCGGGCCCTGGTGAGGACAGTCAGGCACGGGGTAGGAGACTCTGCTTTGTTTTCTTCCGGGAGCTTGGTGAAATACATTTTAGAAAAATCACTATACATTTTATCTGCCCATAATAGGAATAGAAAAAATATCATATATTGGTTTCTGCCCTTAGTTCATGGCACAGAGCTCCAAAACAGACTAAGTGGTAATAACACTAGGAACAATTTGTACTCTGTTGAGGAAATTCTGTGTGAGCTCTCAGATGTGACTGGTCACCAGGAAGAAGTTTGGCATTTTCAATCCCATCCCCATTCTCCAGAGTAGGAAATAAGGAAGGAAACAGTTAATAATTAGTTGTGTTTCCATGAAATACCTGGGACTCTGCACCAGGCTGTTCTCACTCGGGGCATCCCAGAGGGGCGGGTAAGAGCTCTCCCCACCCCAATGGACCCAGCCCCGGCAGACCTACACTACCCAACCGCTGCCAAGCTCCAGGCCAGTTTCCGGATGCTAAGCAGCCACATGACACAACAGGACACCTTGTACCCATTTTCCATAATTGCCACACCATATTTTATGGGGTCCAGGCAGTATGCAACAAATCATAGAGAAAAATATATAAATATATGCCTCTCAGAGAGCCCGACAAGCTACTGAGACTATCCCGCCCACACAGGCAGATCCTGGCAAGCTCCCCGTGGCATATTCCATATGCCCAAACCAGTGGCATCAACAGGTCTCATTCCCCTGACCCTTAAAAAGCCTCCAATCATTTGGAAAAGACAGTAAGAAGAGGCTGCTAAAATCTCAGGGCTGGCTGGAATGGAAGTGTTACTGGTGATGGCTCGAGTAAATTGATGAACAATGGGATGACAGTGATGACAGTGATGAAATGCCTCCATCAAATACCATGATGGGGAAGGACTTCCAGAGCTTTGGGGTTGGTGAACATATGGGGATTAAGAAAGATTGGGGAGTGGAACACTGGCAGTCTTGAAAGTCTGGCACCCTCTCCCTATCCCTTATTATAAGTATCTCTTCCATCTAGCTGTTCTTGAGCTATAACCTTTGTCATAAACTGGTAATATCAGAAGCAAAAGAATTTTCAGAGTTCTGTGAACCACTCTGATTAATTTTGATTAGAAAATTAACCAAACTGAAGGAAGACATGTTATCTCTAGCGACTAGAATAGGAGAAGGCAGACTCCCTCCTTAACGAGGGAGTCTGGTGCTTTTTCTGGATAGGTGGTATCAAGATCTATTGAATTGAATTGTATTCAATTTTATTATGGTGTAGAATTTGTTCCTTTCTACTCCCCCAACTTCGACTCACAAACACATCATTATTTGGTACAGAATCTTAATTGATATCAGAACATTTTTACTACCAAGTTTGCAAAGATCACACATGCACACACATTTAGCGTAGGGGTCAACTTTCTAGAACCCATTATTCATCAAAGGATAAATCTGAAAGGAATCTTGTATTTTCTTCCCAAAATCTCCATTATTCCAGTGAAAAAACAATGAGGGGGTTTCTAAGCTTTTCAGCATCATTCCTTTTCTACTTCATGCTAAGTAGCCAAAATTAAACATAATATTATGTGGTAAGCTTCTAACCGTGGACCAATTGTCTTGGTCTCTGATGCTACTGTCCTTGGGTATTAGTCTCATATTATGTTTCCTTTTCATATTTCACAAATGAGTCCAATCATTCTATGTACGACTCTCTTCTTCTGACTCATTTCACTCAGCATAATATTTTTCATGTCCATTCATTTATAAGAAAATTTCATAACTTTATTTTTCCTAAGAGCTACACAGTATTCCAGTGTGTCAATGTATCATAATTTCTTCAATCAGTTGGAACATTATGACTGAAATCAGACCTTCATCAGCTTTTTGGCTCTGTATCTTATGGTGATTCAATTTTTTAAAAAAAAGTAACATTTTGAAGACTACTTCTAAAAACCTCTCCCCAAAATAGCATTGTCCTCTTAGAAACTTAGTTTAAGTGCCATCTGATAACCTTCTTTAAAAAAATAGATTGTAACAGCATTTGTTCAAAATACCATTATGCACAATGGTGAAAAAATTGAAAATTCCAGAAATTCAGATCATGAAAATAAAGTATCAAGTTATTGGATGGTATTGATTAAATAATAATGCCAATAAAGTCAACAAGGAGAGTATCTTACAATAATTATTTTTTTAAATCAGATGGATATTGTGCCAAGTGCATAACAGGATTTAAGGAAGGCACATGTCACACAAGCATGTGAATGCCCTGACATTATTCTTATGAACCGGAAAAAGATCCTCAACAGTAAACCTTAAATGCTCATTTTCTTTCAAATTCTTAGACTATTAATCCTAAATAGCTATAGACCAAACATTTTTGTAGCACAGATTATACTAGTTAAGTGAGTGATTACATGCACTCATTACAGAGAAACAGTAACATCTGGAAGTTTTGCATCATAGTTAATGTGGAAATTTATGTGGTGGGATATTTTAAGAAAGAAGCCGCTTCTTGGTGTTTTCCTTAATTCCAAGCAGCTGACATCATGCTGTGCCTCTCTATAAGGTAAGTTCTCATTTTGAGGAAAGATACAGTAGCAAATGAAGACTTTAGATTAAGTAATTCTAGAATAAGATGGCATAACAATTAAAAAGGAAATGCCAAATTATTGACTGCCCTCAATATGCCAACCATCTAATATCTGTATCACAAGTTTTCCAGAATCAGAACACATTTCTCTCTGGATGGAGTGAGAAGTAGAACCAGTGGCAAGTCTATTAAAACAAAGAGAATAAGAACCACACTTTTGAAAATAACTTGAATAGCAAGTGAAAGAAATCCAAGAATGCTAAATGACTTCACAAAGCTAGGAATTTTCAAGTGTCAGACCCAGAATATTTGGCTATCCACTCTCTTGAAACAGAAATAGGAACAACTGTGTCTTGGTTGAGACACTTCTGACTTTTTTTTCTCCCTTTGTGCTTCATTCTAACTAATGCAAATGGTACCATAAGTACACAGTTACTAAATCATGTTGCTCATGACTCAAATATTAAGTTATGTTTGACTCAGGAATACTTATAGTGTCTTCCACTCTCATGTATGTGAGACCAATGTGAATGATAGAAATTGAGGTTATATTATAATGAAACTAAAACTACTTAAAAATTTTCAAATTTCCATTTCATTGTCTCCCTTTTCCAACTGTTTTTTTAAGTACCTATTATTTCCAGAAGTTCTACTGATTTACTTATTTATTTGAAGTTCTACTGATTTTAATAGAAATCAGCTCATTGTATTCTTACCACAAATCCCTGAATGTTTCTCTGTTTTGAAATTCCTTCAAACATCAAGTCAGGGTCAGCTGCTATTCTCACTTTACATGCTCTGGGCACGAGTCTATTTAGTATAAGATATGAACATGTGTATGTCCTAAGTATCTTTATCTAAAAATTATATAATCACTAATTTCCTAAAAATCTTTATCTAAAAATTATTGTATCACTAATTCAGGACATATAAAATATTTTTATGGAATTTTTAACAAAGTCTGAACTCAGATATTGAAAAGAGAAATATATGGAACTTTTAATATGCTTTTACAATTTATTAATAGAATGACATTTTATTTGTGACCAAATATGAAAGTAAATCTATCAGACTTTGTGAGTTTCATGGATACTAAAGATTTAAATTTTTTGTTATTCTTATTGGCATTTAGATCTGGACAAGCATATATATATGTATATATATATATATATATCATAATGAAAATCAGACCACGGAATAATTTTGTGTGTGTGGTAAGGAATATGACTACTTTAAATTATGTACTTGTAATACTTATAAAATCAACCTTTTAGAATAAAAGTCCAATACTTTTATTTTAAAGTATATAATTTAATATTTTTGTAATTTTAAGTGGAATTCTTACTAAGATTACACACGACATTTATGTTTGCGTGTAATATTGGAACTTTGAAATAATTTAAATGTATAAGAACTGACACATTACTTGGTAAGGTATATGTAAAAAAGACACTTATGGGTATATTTTAAAAGTATTTAAAGTGTATTTAGTTTGTAAGTGAATAGCACCAAAATTTATATAAATGCAATGTAAGTGACATGATATAATAGTTAAACTGAGCTCCCACTGGAAAATAAAATAGTCTTTTCAACTTTCAGTCTTTGACAAATGCTTGCTTTACCCCCCCCACCAAAAAATCAAAATGACCTTTTTTGTCTCTAAACCTCCCTTCAATCACCTACAAGCATTCACCCAAGGATGCTGGATAAGGCACTCATAGCATTGGATTATGCACCCCACATCCCCTAAGCTAAATTGTATAGGAGGCTGGACAGTGTGGGGACTGCACAGCTGGTCCTTCAGCTCAGCAATGATGCCCAAGTTTTCTCTAGGTAATAATTACATGCCCATGGACCAACTTCCCATTTGGGGATGTGTAGTAGGGGAAGGGGTCTCCAAGTTTGCACACATTGTACTTTTGAGTAAATACTGTTTCTGCTCTGGCTTTAAGAGTGTACTTAAATGCATTCTTCAAGGGCACTTATACTAGGTGTTTGCTACCCCTCTTGACAAGCAGTACCTCACTCCGCTGGTGTCAAAACAACATATGTTCAGCACCTTGTAGTTACCAGGGCACATGCTCGTTATTCAGTTGTTCACTGATCAGTTTTAAGAACTTTCCACCTGCTTGTAGATGGCTTACATCGCCTTTAGCCAACACACTTTCCAGTATGAAATCACTGTTCTCTGCTGGCTTGCGTCTTTCTCTGTTGCTTTTTCTCACAATCCTTTCTTGGAACCTCTTTTTTCTCTCTTCCCTCATGATGTCTTTAGTCTCCTTCCTCTCCTCTCTGTCAACTATCAGTCACGTAGCATGGCTTCACTTCTTTAAATTCAAGTGACACTCTGTCTTCCTAGCTGAGGAAAATGACTGACATTGCTCCCAAAAAACATCTACTTTCACTATAGAAACAAAAATGTTCTGTCTTAACATGAGACCACAAATCTAACTGAAAAGTTGCAAATATTGGAAATATGTGTGCTTTAAGAGCAAAGAGTACCTGTTGGGTAAATATGGAAGTCAGTTCTGAAGAAAGATTCGGGCTCAGCTCTGATATCAAAGACAACCAGGAAGCCCCAGAGTCAGTGCTATAATGATATGCATAGTTTTGTGACCCCACTGCTCCACTCCTGAACAACAGAGACTTTCTAAACCTCACTCTGGGAAATGATTTCAATGATGATATTTACAAAACTGTTGGTTTTTGATCACACAGTGAGTTCCTGTGGGAAGAGCATTCTCTAAAATACTAGAGTTATCCATCAGAAAGTGTGACTCTGATCTCATTGATCTAACTGTGGCACTGTAGCACTGTCCTCCAGTTGTTCATCGATTTGCTCTAGCGGGCCCAATAACGTCTCCATTGTGAGACTTGTTGTTAGTGTGTTTGGCATATTGAATACATCACAGGTAGCTTGCCAGGCTTTGCCATGTGGGCAAGATACTCTCGGTCACTCAGGTTCTCCGAGAGGGGTGGAGGAATCAAACTCGGGTCGGCCAGATTGGCTGTGTGCAAGACAAACGCCCTACCTGCTGTGCTATCGCTCTAGCCCATTGATCTAACTAAAGTGCTCTTTTTATTTTTTGAATTGTTTTATTTTATAAAGCAGTTCACAGTATTTCATTATATTTAATATTCAAACACCAATCCCACCACTAATACACCTTCCCACCACCATATTTCAGATGTTTCCATCCCGAATGCTAATCCCTGCCCCAAAGCAGAACCGAGATCATTTATTTTGTATTGTTTGTTATGAAAAATGGCTGAAAATGCTACAAAAAAAGTATCCTTAGAGGAAAGAGTGTGGAGACTGTTGTGTTTCATCCAGGGGCCATCAAGCCCTTCTATAAGAGATCACTTAAATGTTGTTAAAGGTTGAGCCTTATATGCTTTATATAAATGTATATATATATATATGTAAAAATGTATATTTCCCTCTAAGATTGTTTGCCTCCTGCTTTGAACCCTATCAAATGTGGTGTGGTAATCTTGGAGTATGGGTAGGGTGTGTGGTTTGAAGTATGGCGGCTGTGTGGTCCAGGAATAGATTCACTCCTGGGTGATGCTCTGCCTGAGCACGTGAAGAGCGGCCATAGGCATGGTGGCAGCTGAATTCTGGAGGGTTTGGGATGCCAGGATTGGGTTCTTTGGGATAGAGAAGGGTCTTACCCACTCCCTTATGGGGCTCCCCAAGTTGCTCTTTTCAAAGAGTTCTTCTTTCACAAAAGATACCTTTGCATGCCTGAGGTGCTGAGTTTGATCCCCAGTCCAGAATAGTCCTTCAAGACAAGAATGTCATGGTATGCTTCCCTTCATCACCCCTGCCTGAGGGATAACTGTCCACCCCACACTCCCTGAGTATTTCTGGGAGTCACTCCTGAATCTCAAGCACCCCAGCTACAGAGGGTTACCCTACCCAAAATTAATCACCTGAGTTTTTGTAAATTTATATGTATAACAGAGAAGCATGTAAACTCTATGTTCAAGAGAACATTTCTCAGTCATTATTTATAGAGGATATACTGTTCTTCCCAATCCATGTTTCTGCATCCCTCTGAGTCAAGCCATAGGACTTAAAAGTTCCCAGGAAGTTATCTTTTCCACCACAAAAGTCATGTTATCATTAGCTAAGTGTGTGTCCCTGCAGACGTGACACCACATATGGGAAGCTGGAGGGAGTTTATTTCTGTTGGTCACCCACATTCTAGAGTGGATCAGAGTATGTTTCTTTTCCTGCCAGATGTATAAGCAAACGGGACTTAAAATAGGATCCTCAAGTCCCACACACATTTCCAGGGTCTTGGCCGTTGATGGGATTACTCAGTGCCAGGGGGCCAGGTGGTGGGTGTGACCCCTGCCTACTGGGATTTGGAGGATCTGGGTGGAAGATGCTCGACTCCAGTCCGAGTAGACTTGGAGATCTCAGCCCCGGAACCCGCGTGGCTTTGTCCCTCTGCCAGTACCTTCATGTGTGCGGAGAGTGGTCTCAGCATGGTGGTGGCTGGTCCTGGAGGTCTTCGGCTGCCGGAGCCCTGGTCAAGGCGGGGAGGAAAGCTCAACCCGCTCCCCTCCAAGGGGCCTTGGCGAGGAACAGCCAAACCAAACAAAAAAAATTAGCCCCCTCCCAAACCAAACAAAAAAAATTAGTTCTATAATATGCAAATAGGAATTACAAATCTTAGGAGCTGTTAGACAATCAAA